GGACCAAACAGGAGTGGTGACTCAGACTCTAGATAAACTAAAAGAAAGACTAGAAGAAAGAAAACGTAACTTTGAATCTAAAAAAGGTTGGTTTGAGGGGCTATACGATCAGTCCCCCTGGTTTACCACTCTGATATCTTCCTTAGCAGGCCCTCTAGTCCTCCTGTTTTTAATCTTAACCTTGGGGCCCTGCATACTTAATCGGCTAGTCCAATTCGTTAAGGATCGGCTGTCTGTAGTTCAGGCACTAGTCCTCACCAGCCAGTACCAGGCATTGAGGACCCAGGATCCAGATATATTATGATGAGTGAAAGATTCCACTCATATGTCCATAGAAAAAGGGAGGAATGAAAAAAGACTAGGCGCCATGAGTACTCATGAGCCCACATGTTTAAAATTGACAAAAACCAGTACCAGCCTTATCAAAAGGCTGCAAGACGGGCAGGCTCCGGTCAATCTTCACAGATCAAGCCAGTTTTACGGGTTACGGGTAGAACTCCTGACCACCCTGAGGGCCCGATACCAGGAAATCAAGGGAAAAACATCTGTGCCTCTGAGGTCACCTCCCATTTAGCAATCACACTTCCCCTTAGCCCCGACCCTTATCTCTGCATAATTAACCAATAACTGCTCTTCTGCTTCTGTACCCTGCTTCTGCTCTATAAAAACTGCCAAACCCCAACCTGGGGTGCGCAAGTCCTCCGAAGAGACTCTGTGCCCACAGGTACCTGTGTATCAAATAAACCTCTTGCTGTTGCAACCTGAAAGGCTGACTTGTCCTCAGTGGTCTCACTCTTACAAACAGGTAAGAGAAGGGGTAGCATGAGCAAGTTCCTTGACACATGGGATGTCAATGCTCTGTGGCAATGGATGAGGGGTGCAGGAAATGGAGCTGAGAGAGATATATGAGAGAGGCCAAAGTGCAGTGCCAAGCTACATGGGCTTTCTACTATAGCATGTAGGAAGCTTGAAAATGTTTTGTTTTGTGTTTTGTTTGAAACCAGGTCTTACAATATAGTCCAGGCTGGCCTCTAAGCCCTAATTGTCCTACCTCATCTCCCTGGTGCTGGGATTATAGGCATGTGCCCACCTTGAAAATTTCAATGTAAGGAATGAGATCTGTGTCTCATAAAACCTCTCTGGTCTTATTTTAAAAGATGGAAGGGAAGAGTCTAATGGTTAGGCACAGCATTAAAAGACTGTAATATCCAAGCTGGTAATGGAGGCCAGAATAAGGGAGTGGGCACAGGCCTACCAGAGACATATTTTGGTGTGCCCTACAGAGAAGAATTAGGAATTTCTATAAATAAGAAATGCAGACTATGTACTGATTAGGTTGCAAACTACCTGCACAGGGCAGACGATAAATACCTGTCCTCAAAGTACCTGACTGAGAGTCAGGCACAGTCGCTTATGCCTGTAATCTCAGCACTTGGGAAGCTGAGGTGGGAGGATCACCACTAGTTCAAGGACAGATTAGGCTGCATAATGAGTTCAAGGCCTGCTTGCAATAACATGGTGAGACCCTGTTACAAAACAATAAAAAGCAAAAAAGTGACAAGCTCAGTAGTAAGCAGTTTTGGGTTTGTCAATTACTCTAGTAAGTCAGGATCTGAACTAAAATGATTATAGCTTTCTAGCATCTCAAAGAAAACAAGCATTACCTTGCCTCTTTAGCTGTGACAACTAAAGGATAATGTGCATATACTCGAATAAAAGTCTGATAAAAGTCATATCATAAAAGTTCTTTTTAAAAAATGAAATGTTTTATTACGTTTATTTATTTAGTTATTTGTGTGGGGGGGTCAGAAGATAACTTTCAGAGGTTGACTTTCTCCTTCTACCATGTGGGTTCTGGGAATTGAACTCAGGTCCTCAGGGCTGTTGGCGGGCTCCTCCAGTGAACCATCCCGACTGCCCTCATAAAGTTCTAAGTCAAGCATTTTCCCATTATGCAAGATAGCTTTGGCTGTCAACTTGACACACCTGGGTAGAGGGAGCCTCAATTGGGGGATTTCTTCCATTGGACTCACCTATGGTCATGTCTGTGGGGTATTTTCTTGATTGTGGAGTGATGTGGGAGGACCCAGCCCACTGTGGGCAGTGCCACCCCTGGACAGGTGGGCCTGTGTTGTATAAAGAAGAGGGTTGAGCAGGGGCCAGGGAGCAAGTCAGTAAGCATCAATCCTCCATGGCTTGTGCTCCAGCTCCTGCCTCCAGGTTCCTGCCTGAGTTCCTTCCATGGGCTCCCTCGTGAGGAAATGTGATTCGGGAGATGTAAGCCAAATTAACCCTTTCTTTCACAAGTTAGTATTGGTTAGAGTGTTTTGTTACAACAATTGAAGGCAAACTAGAACACTCACACTTATTGGAAACCTACTGTTTCCCAGCACACACACCAGATCAGCTGCATAGCAGACACCCAAATATCACTATGTAATTTTGAGTTCACCTCAGCTATTGTAATGCTTTTCAGACACTTATGATCAGTCTGTTCATTACGCCAACTCGTTTTGTCTCATTCACTTTGACCCCATCTGTTAGGTCAGTTTGGAGCTTGACCACCTCCATCGGAGAAAGACCAGGAAAAACAAAGCACTAGGGAGAGATAGAACTCAGCCAGCAGGCTAGCTAAAATTAAGTAGGAGAGAAAGAGAAGGAAAGCCATTGCCAAGGATGAGGCTTCTTCAGCTTTTAATGATTCACCTCAGGTGCAGCATTAATTAGTAGAGACAAATGAATCATCAGCTTGTGCTTACACACACAAAAACGCATGCTCTTTCACACAAAACACAAGACGCATTAAAATATTACACTGTCTATTGACATTTTTCAACAAAGGTAAGGCAGATAAACAAATGTTTCCTCCAAACTGAAAAAAAATGTTTTATTTTAATCATGTGTATTTGTGTTTGTGTATGTAGGTGTGCACGTGTGTGCAGGTGTGCATGTGTGTGCAGGTGCCCGAGGAGGCTAGAAGAGGGGGTTGGGTCCTCTGGAGCTGGAGTTACCAGCTATTGTGAGCTGTTTGACATGGATGCTGGGAACTGAACTGGGGTCCTTTGCAAGAGCAGTGAGCGCTCTGAACCACTGAGCCAACTCTCTGCCCACTCCTGGTTTTGTCACTGCCTTTCTGAATTTTAGGAGGAGGCAGAGAAGCACTGTAATCCTAAGGGAGTCTGTTTTCAAAGTGAATGTCTGAAATATTTCAAATAAGTAGTTCTAAAGGTTGATCTGAATTTTATTCTTTGATCTTTCATTTTGAGAAAAAGTTTTATTGACGTTTGATGATGCAATGTCAGATCTTCTAAGATTTTCAAGGTTTGTTGTTGACAGCAGGGAGTATTTATAATTCCGTATTATTTTTCTGACAGCTTTAATATACCTTTACCTCTTCTTTGGATGTTCTCCAAGTTGCATGAATAAATAATCAGCATTAGGATGTTGGTAATTTCCCTAGAGGCTATTGTTGAGGCAGAAACCAACTCCTTGTCTTTGATGTGTATTAAAAGTCAGAAATAAAAATCCCAGGACACTCTGACAAATACTTTTGCCTATTGGCTTTCAACACAGGTGAAACAATCCAAACTTGAGCCACACGTGAGCCCCTCCTCTACCCCTTGAAATCTCTGACGTCTTTCCCTGATTAGAAAAGTCAACCGGCTTTAAAGCTAATTTCTCATATGAATTTTCTGATGAAAAGTTTACATCCATTCCATAAACCAGCAGGAAAACCCCACCTCAACAGCCTGTCACAGTGCCCTCTTATCCATCTTCATCTCCTCAATGCCCAGATTAATGCCTGGCCCAGGTGCTTGGCAGACGTGAGCTGGCTTAGGGAAGGACTCACCTTCAAAAGCATTTCTTCATGCTGGGGATTGTCAGAATCGTACGGTTCTCTACGCAGTTTTTCCACATCTGCGATAAGGTTTCTGTAGCCCACAATCTGCAGAAGGCAAGCCTGCAGCGAGATTCCCAACCTAAGGTTTAGAGGAAGCACAAGTCAGGAAAAACAGACCACTTATATCAAGACCACTTGGTAATCACATGGTAGAACTTTTAATGTAAGCTTTTCATGTGGATAATATTCAGGAAATTACTCAACCATTCTCCTCCTCCCTCCCTCCGTTTTTTTTGTTAGGTTTTTAAAAAATATTATTTTTATGTGTATGGGTGTTTTGCCTGCAAGCACACCCGTGTTATGCAAAACTTGGCCAGAAGAGGGTGTCAGATTCCCTGGAACTGGAGTTATGGACAGTTGTTAGCTGCCATGTGGGTGCTAGAAATTTAACCCAGGTCCTCTGGAAGAACAGCAAAGTATTCTTAACTCTGAGCCATCAGGTTTTTAAAAAATATTATTTTTATGTGTATGGGTGTTTTGCCTGCAAGCACACCCGTGTTATGCAAAACTTGGCCAGAAGAGGGTGTCAGATTCCCTGGAACTGGAGTTATGGACAGTTGTTAGCTGCCATGTGGGTGCTAGAAATTTAACCCAGGTCCTCTGGAAGAACAGCAAAGTATTCTTAACTCTGAGCCATCTCTCCAGTCCCTTGTTTTCTTTTTCTTTTTCTTTTTTTTTTTTTTTTTTTGGATAGGGTCATTTTTTTTTTTTTTTTTTTTTTTTTTTTTTTTTTTTTGAGATAGGGTCTCATACTGCAGTCTAGACTGGCCTAGAATTCACTATACAGCCCAGGCTGGCCTCCAATTAATGGCAATCCCCTGCCTCACTCAGCCTCCTAAGACCTAGGATAATAAGCGGAGCTATCATGCCAGGACAGAAATGATTCTTACTGAAGCTTCACAAGAATAGTTGTTAACCTTGTCAAAAATTTCTCCCTCTTTTTTTTTCTTAAGCTAAACTGCAACTGTTTGACTTAAAAAACAAGGGAGAACTTCAAGAAGGTAACTTGACAGTAGAATGTGAAAATACAGGTGGCGATAGATTCTTGGGGATCATTTAGGCTCTGAAGGTGACTATATTAGAATCACTTCAAAGGGCTGTGTATGGGGGGGGAGATGAGAGAGAGAGAGAGAACGAATGTGAGCACCCTCAGAGCTTTTAGGACAAGAAACATGTCAAGAAATAAAGGAAACAGCAGCAGTATCCACATCACCCTCACCATCGCCAGTAGCCACAGCAGAAAACCACTTCTGTGTGACAGTGAGCAGTCAACAGATGCGGCAATGCCTGAGAAGTCTCAACTTTGTAAGACTGCCCCTCATCTTCCCACCGTCTATCTACTCATTTGAACACTCAGGTTGAAACAAAATCTGCTTTGCTTATTACCAAGTGGCTCAAATGCAGTCCTCTGAACAAATTTGTCTCTATTCCCCTGCCAGCCTTGCTTATTTTAAGACAGCGATTTTTCTAGTCTCATTTCCAAGGTTACATACATACAAAAGAGCAAAACAAAACAAAACACCCCAAAACCCATTCCTTCAATTTCCTCTCATGGGCTGTGTTAGCCTCAGTTGTCAACTTGACACACCTGGGTGGAGGTGGCGGGAACCTCAACTGAGGAATTTCCTCCATTGGATTGGCCTGTGGCCATGTCTGTGGGGCATTTTCTTGATTGTTGAGGGATGTGGGAGGGTCGAGCCCACTGTGGGTGGTGCCACCCCTGGGCATGCGGTCCTGTGCTGTATAAGAAAGTAGGCTGAGCACCAGCAAGGGGAGCACGGCAGTGAGCAGTTTTCCTCCATGGTCTGCGCTTCAGTTCCTGCTCTCAGATTCCTGCCCTAGCGTCCCTCAGTGCTGAACTGTGACCTAGCAGATATAATCTAAAAACAAACCCTTCCCCAAGTTGATTTTGATCAGTGTTTTTATCACAGCAATAGACAGCAACTAGAACATGGGCCATTGGTCTGATGTAGGATGGTGCTCATGCAACACTCGGTGCACACATTTTATCACAAGTCCCTTAACCACATTGCCAGAACAGGAAACTGGGAAGCAGAGGAGGGATCTCACATCCTGAGATCAGACACTGGTTTCCTTGCCTACAATCTATAAAATAGGATCTTTCTAAGCATTTAAGTAATATTACAAGCAGGTAACTAACCACCAAGATTTGTTCTGCATACAAACTACTGTCTAGTCAGGTGTGGTTGTGCATGCCTGAAATCCCAGCAGGATCAGAAGTTCAAAGCCAGTTTCAGCTACATAGTAAGTTCTAAGTCAGCCTGGGTTACATGAGACACTGTCTCAGAAAGAACACAAAACAAGAAGATTCTTTTATCCTGCCTGTACTAATTTGATAGCATTTCTATATATTTATTTATTTGGTGGTGGGGGGGATGTGTGTCGAAGTCAGAGGACCACTTGCAGGAGTAGGTTCTCTCCTTCTACTATATGGGTCCCAGGGATTGAACTCTGGTCTTCAGACTTGGTGGCAAGCATTCTTATCTGCTGAGTCATCTTGCTGACCCTTGAGAGTATCTAAAAAATATTTTTCTTTTATTATTTATTTTAAATATTTATTTTTATGTGTATAAGTGTATTGCCTGTATGCATGTAATTGCATCCATATCATGCAATGCCCACAGAGGTCAGAAGAGGGCATCAGATCCCCCAGAACTGGAGCTAAAGTTGTTAAACACCATGTGGGTGCTGAGAGCTGATCCCAGGTCCTCTGCAAGAGCAGCCAGTGCTCTTAACTGCTGAGCCATCTCTCCAGCCCCTATTATTTTAAAACTATGTGTACATGTATCTGGGTTTGTGCAGGTGAGTGCAGTGCTAAGGTTACAGGTGGTTGTGAGCTACCCTATTGGGTGCTGAGAATTAAACTCGGGTCCTCTGGAAGAACAGCGTGTACCGCTGAGCTGTCTCTCCAGCTGAGTCAGTATTTCATGTTCATTTTTATCCTGCTAAATTCTCCAGCCACACGCCATTTCTTGCTCAAAATGGCAGAACATCAGCAATGTCTGTGACGCTCTCCAGTATGTTCTGCCCCTCCTTCATCACTCGTTCTAAGCATTTCTTTTGTGAAGGTTGAAGATGGTCTTTAGAGAAACAGTGTCTGTGACATCATCATCTTCATGGGGTGGGAAAGGTCTTAGTATTACATATCTACTTCAGACTTTTAGGAAAGTGTCAGACAACTTAGGAATACTAAACCTAAATAAAACTGTGTTTAACTAAATGAACTTTAGATTATTTGTTATCATGGCACTAAACCTACAAAATTAAATATTTAAACGTAGGAAAGGCCCAATGGCACAAGCCACCCAGAGGGTCAATGCAGAACTGAGATGAGAGATACTTTGTTTTTTAAAATTAAAAAAAAAATTTTTTTAAACTGGGTGGTTTCCTCACAATTTATTTTATTTATTTATTTATTTATTATTTTTTAGAAGAAGTATTTCATTACAGCTTTAACATAATAACAATTGGGGTGTGTGTATGTGTGCATGCATGCACACATGTGCCCACGGTTCAAGTATGAAGGTCAAAAGACAGCTTGCACAAGTGGGTCAGTGGCTGGTGCAGAAGTGGTAAAGGGAACATTTCTGTGAGCAGCTGTTAACATTTTTTTTCTAAAAAAATTTATTTTATTTATTTATTTATTTATTTATTATTTTTTAGAAGAAGTATTTCATTACAGCTTTAACATAATAACAATTGGGGTGTGTGTATGTGTGCATGCATGCACACATGTGCCCACGGTTCAAGTATGAAGGTCAAAAGACAGCTTGCACAAGTGGGTTCTCTCCTTCCACCATGAGGGTCCTGGGACTTGAACTCTGGTCATCAGACTTGATAGCAAATGCCTTTATCTGCTGATCTGATGAGCCATTTTGCTGGCCCTATTTGCTTTGTTTTTTTTGAGACACAGTCTCCCTGCAGCCCCAGCTAGCCTGCAACTTGCTTGACCAGGTTGACCTCAATCTCAAAGAGATCTGCCTGCTTCTACCTCCTGAGTGCTGGGATTCCAGGCATGAACCACAATGCCTGGCCTAACAGTGCGTTTTGAGGGAAAGAAAAAAATTGGAAGATATGAGAGGCGAGAACTGGAATGTGAATTTTTTTTTTCTGTAGCAATTTTAGTTCTACCGTTAAGTAGCTTTTGAAAAAAGGTGAATACATAAAAACAGGTTAACAGTAGAAACAACTTAACACCTTTAAAATGCTTTCTCCATATCTAACTTCACATTTCTTTGTTTACTTGGAATAAAATTTTTTGGTTTTTTTTTTTTTGAGATGGGATCTCATGTAGTTTGGCCTTGAATTCACAATGTAGCAGTGGAAGACTTTGAACTCCTGATCCTCTTGCTTCCACTTCTCAAGTGCTGGGATTACAGGCATGTGACACCATGCCTAGTTAAAATATCTAATTTTTTATGACAAGTTTTGTTAATAGTTTGAGGAGAAAGGCAATAAAATCCAAATTGAAATGTTGAAAACAAAACAAAACAACCAAACAACAACAACAACAAATTACCTACTATCTATACTTTGTGTGTGTGTGTGTGTGTGTGTGTGTGTGTGTGTATGCGTGTGTGTGGTGTTTTTGAGATAGGGTCTCCCTGTAGCCCAGCTGGCCTGGACTCACTCTGTAGACAAGGCTGGCCTTGAACTCACAGAGCTTCACTTTCCTCTGCCTCCTGAGTGCTGGGATTAAAGGTGTGTGCCACCACACCCAGCTCAGCTCTATCTATACTTTTTTCTAAAGGCAAAAAAACTTCAAAGCAAATAAATGCCTCTGTTTTTCTTTTCCTTCCTTCTTTACTTACCTCCTTCCCTTGCTCCTCTCTCCCTTCCTTTCTAGACAGGGTCTCACTGTGTAGCCCTGATTGGCCTAGAACTTGCCATGTAGATCAAGTTGGCCTCAAACTCATAGAGCTCCACCTGCCTCTGCCTCCCCCCTGTAAATGCCCCTTTTCTTGAGTCAGAGTCTCGCTGTTATGCAGCCCAGGTTGACCTAGAACTCACATTCACACTCTTCCTACCTCAGCCTTCAAAGCTTTGGGACTGCAGCCATATACAATCACAGTAAGGGAATGTGTTAAGGTTCCACTTACACAGTCTTCATAGAACGGATACAGAAAAGGTGAAGGGATTTGCTGTTCTAGCTGATACCATCTCTAAATACAATTCTAGGACTAACATATCCCTCATATCTCATGATAGTCTTAAGCTTTGGGTTCAATTGGTTTTAAATGAATTTCTGCCTCATATTTTCCCTGAGGACTAGAGTACATGGCAGAAGAGTTCTTAAATTTTTATTTTTATAAAGATTTATTCATTTATTTTTATTTATGTGTGTGTCTACTGGATTTAAATGCACTATGTGTGTACAAATGCCTATGGAGACCAAAAGAGGGTGTCAGACCCCTGTCAGACTCCCCGGAACTACAGGCTTTTTTTTTTTTGGAGACAGGGTCTCCCTCTAGCCTCAGCTGGCCTGGAATTTACTATGTAGACCAGGCTGGCCTTGAACTCACAGAGATCCGCCTGCCTCTGCCTCCCAAGTGCTGGGATTAAAGGCGCGGGCTACCACGCTCGGCTTTGTTTTGGTCTTTTTGAGACAGGTCTCCCTGTAGCCTTGGCTGGCCTGGAACTCACTATGCCTTGACTGAATAACAGGCATTTGTGAGCCACCATGTGGTGCTAGGTCAGCTGCAAGAACAGTAAGTGCTCTAAACCACTGAGCCATCTCTCCAGCCCATGTCAGAAGATTTGAAAACTACATTTACTACACGATTAAATCAACCTTAATGGCTGAGTAAGGAAAAGGTATAACTTACTAGCTGAAGAGACTATAGAAAAATGCTGTAGGGACGGGTAGAAATGGAGTTTTTGTGATGAGCCCCTGGACAGATAGACCAAGAGACAGGCCAGTGCCAAGCACACTCTGAAATTCTCTCCAATTCCAGCTCCCTGTCTTTGGTAATTCACAAGCTTTCTCAGAGATAACATCTAAAGTTCTTATGCATGTAGATCTAAAAGACAGTTTGATTGTTACCAACCTAAAACTGTCTCTAAATATACCTGCATTTAGAATTTATTCTACCCAAATTCCTTAGCCCCAAATTTTACTGAAAATTTGCTGCAGCCAGTGGAAAATCCAAAGCTAATTTTAAATGTCATGAACACTGCCAAATGCATTTTAATACTCCCAAGATGAGAATAAATTATAAAAGTTCTAAAGTATTCATATAAAAACCATCTCTTCCTCCCACGCATGCATGCCTGTCTTCTTGAAGAGCAGGTAGGAACTGTCTCCAAGATTATCAGCCTGTCATGAGGGAATATTCATGAGCAAACTGAAGGAATATTCTAGATGGAGCAGAATGAGCTTGGGCATATTTGTGATGTGAACATGTTCAGCTAATGTAAAGTGCAGGCATTGCTCAGAGTTCCTGCTGATGAACAGCTTCCTTGATCTCACATTCTGATATCAGCCCTCACCCCCTTTCTTCCCTTCATTGCATGGAACCACAAAGCACACTCAACAGCAGTGTAAAGTCACTGCCATTTAAAACACAGAAAGGCACCATTTTTATTTGTCATCTGAGAGTCAAAACGCTGCAGGTGATTGTTCGGAAGAGAGTGGATCAGAGAAAAAACAGTGAGAGACAGGCATGAAACAAGCCACGGGATTTGTGTTCTGTTTTTCTCAGATACGAAACCCATTCTTACTGAGGATTGATGTCCGGGTTAATTTTTTTCAGTTCCATGATGTCATCGATAGTCTTTTCAATAGCATCGGGGTGAACGCTCACTGAAGTCTGCAACAGCTGGAAAACAGGTTTCAGTCAATTCCCTTTTCATGAGCATCAGTGGCTTCTACACCTCCCAGGACAGAGGCTTCAAGTTTATGCTTCTGTATGAAGGTCTGAGCTAAAAGCAAACTCATTTTGTTACTTGAATTTGAATACTTCTGATGTTTTCACAATTGGGGGAGTGCCATTTTCCCAACTACGGTATTTAATGGAAAGCAGGCACATAACGTTTTAATTTTGCTTATGTTACAGTTTCTCACCCCCACCCCCACCCCCAGGAAACACTTTTACTTACCTTACTTTTTGACTCCCTCAGTGATGTTTCTGTTAACATAATAACAAAAAATGTCATTTAAAATTATGCTTGGTGAATGGTTGAAAATTACTCACTGAAATATGGTACTGTAGCCTCAACCCCACCACCTCTGTGTTTTGCTTGTTTTCATTTCATGCTTACCGATTTTCATGGTTCTAGAAGCTCCGGGCTTGGTGTTATAACAGATCCTTTGCAGTTCACACCTTCCGGTTAGCTTCCTCATTACAAATTTCAGGCAGCGCCACAAAAATTTACAGTAAAAATACAGGCATACCTGGATCAGCATCCTGTGGGAAACAAAACACAGCACCCTTCCAATAGTCTGGAAGAGAACAGAAAGCAGCCGCCACCAGCAAGGAAAGACGCCCGGAAAAAAGCAGCTGTTAGATTTCAGTGTTTGCAAGTGTGCCTTAGTTTACTTCTAAGAACTACAGTTTCTATGACTATTCAACTCCACAATGCTCCTTTCTACTAAGACTGATGTCCAACAAACAGGGTGAAGCACTGGAATTCCCTCCTTTCCCACCTTTGTCTAAAGGGTTTTGGAAATGATAGTGTTAATATTGCCTTCGACCTGAGCCAGGAGGGGCTGAAGGGCTTGGACCACCCCTGCTTTCTTTCCAGTCCTTCCCTAACATCCATCATTCGTGCAGTAATTACCTGTATTTGCCCCCTTGCCTTTCTCCCATCCTTTCCCATCTCCCATCTCCTTCTGGAGGACTTGGCTGTGTGGCTCCAGCCTTCCCCACTGACCAATCCCAGACTCCTTGGCATCTTCCTGAAGGCTTCCTCATCAGTTTGCTGAGTAAGAACTGGTCCCCTTTCATCGAGATGACAGCCGTTCCTGATGCAGACTTTTCAGAAACTTCATCTCTATAGCAGTCTTTTCTTGGCTCCTACTAACGTTTCCTTCACTGCACACCTTAACCCACTCCAGTAACACCTCAGCAGGTCAGGAAGCATGCTGTCACCAAGCATGCACTTACCCACATGTGTCTGACTCTTGTAAATTTCTTTGCTTTTTTTTTAAAAAAATTATTTTTATTTTATGTGTATAACTGTATGCTTGCATGTGTCTAAGGGCATCCATGTCATGCAACGCCCGCAAAGGTCAGAAGAGGGTATTGGATTCCCTGGAACTGGTGTTATGGACGGTTGTTAGCTGCCATGTGGGTGCTAGGACTTGAACCCGATTCCTCTGCAAGAGTAGTCAGTGTTCTTAACCAGTGAGCCATCTCTCTAGCCCCATAAATTTGTTTTTTATGCTGATTTTTAATTTAAAAATATAAGTGCCTGCTATTTCATGGTATTGGTCAGGGTCTCAAAATGACTCAGGCTTTAGAGTCAAAGACAGCCTGTCACCCAAGATCTTATGATGAACCCATCTCTACACTGTGCTCCTAGTGGCAGAATTATTTCTGTTAATTCCTACTTGTGCCATTTCTAAGTGATTTTTTTTTTCTCTCAAATGTCCATCGATGCCCTGTAGTTCTGAAATAAGGTGATCTAGGGTCATTCATATCAATTCTAGTGGCTAATACTCTCAACCATATGAGCTGTTTCTCCAAATCAACTAATTCCTTGGCTATATTCATTTGTTTGAATTTTCTGGTTCCAGTGTCTTCAACAGCTGTGTGTTAATGATAAAAATTCTCATACAAAGGCGTAGGGCTTATATCTTATAAGCACAAAGGCAATGAGAAGGAACAGTGCCAGTAACCATGCTGCTCTGGTAAGAAAACACAATGGAATACTTTGCAGGCAATACCATTACTTCCTAAAATTGCAAGTAACATGAAAATGCCCTTGATATTTATTAACTATGAACCAATTTCACATGAATATGAATGAAATGATGTAAATATCCCTTTTAAGTGAATTTATTCACTTTTTTGGTTTTTGAGACAGGGTCTCCGTGTAAGCCCTAGTTGGCCTGAAACTCACTATGTAACTCACTATGGCTGGTCTCGGACTCACAGAAATTTGCTGCCTCTGTCTGTTTCCCAAGTGCTAGGATAAAAGGCATGTGTCACCACACCCAGCACTTAAAACGAATTTTAATAGAGACATACAACAAAGGGAAGAAAGACTGACAGGTTACATAACAGAAAACTTAACCATGTTATTGCTAGTTACTAGAGTCACCAGTAGCTTTTATTTTGTTAAGTACATTTTCTTTTTACTACATATTTTAAGAAATATGAAAATGTTAATTAAAATTATAAAATGATCCCTTGGAAACATATATATTCTATGTGTTACTACGTTACTATAGAATCAGTCTGCTGAAAGCTGAAACTTGATTTACTATGTTATAATGCCTAATGTTCAACTGTTCAAGTCAAATATATTCTAAACTCTGTTAAGATTTAGGGTAACTGGTTCCCCCCCGCCGAAAAAAAGTTACTCTAAAAATAAATGTAGTGGAACATTTTAATTAGACAAGTGAGAAGATTTATAAAATCTCAAGTTGTTCTCTTGGAAAATGTTCCTCATTTTCAAACTATCTAACAGCTATGCCAGAAAAAAAGATTGAGCGTCTTTGCTAACTGCTCTTCAGCCCAATGGTAATGACATGAATCACTAGGAGGAATAATACTTATCCATCACGTTTGTTCCGTCTCCCATTTTCCACTGCCAATGGCCTCCCCATGTGGGCCAGAGTCCAAACGAGCCACCTTTCAAGACTTGGTGTCGGGTCTGTAGGCCTCATGGTTTAGTTCTAGTACTAAATCTACCTAGAGTTAGGGGTGTCTGGTAACTGTTTATGGAGTGATGCACTTCAGAGCTTGAATGTGTCCAAAAGGGCCATGTGTTAAAGTCATGGTCTTCCAAGGAAGATAATGGAATCTTTGAGAGGTGGGACCTAGTGGGAAGCTTTTAGGCCATGGGGTATATCTGTGAAGGGGATTGTGGAACCCTGTCCTTGTCCTTCTCTTTTACTCTGAGGCCATGAGGTGAGCAGTTTTGTGCCCCCCAAGAGCCTCCAACCTGACATACTGCCTCACCACAGGCCAAGTGGAACAGGATGCAGCAGTAACCTCCCAAATTTTGAGCCATATTATAATGCTTCTCATTTTAAGTTGATCTCAGATATTCGTTACAGTAAGAAAAGCAGATCAACACATGGGACATCTTCATATTCACCTTGCTTAGCGTACAAGGCACCGGCCATGTTATAGCTTAAAGAAAGCCCCAGCCACTGCTTATCAGGCCTATACAGAGACGTGGCTTGAGACTCAGAAGTGTCATTCTAGGTGTCAGTGTCTCTCTGTGGAGTCACTTATGGTCCAGGTATCATTCCTTTCCCTGGTTGTCTTGTATATCGGAAGAAAACGCCTGTGTGGCTGTTTCACATCCAGACAATTCTCTTTTCTAACTCCCCACCAGGGCACTTACACTGTCAAAGGTAGTGAAAGACAGTAGAAATCCCCTGTGGGGCCTAGGAAGGGAATGTCTGTCACTCTGAGGGCTCATCAGGCTATGAAGACTGTGGTGGCCTCTCCCACAATCACACACACTGCATCGCAAACCACAAGTGACAAAAGCCCATTTTAATTACAAAATGGTGATTGTGTGCAGCTTACTCTTCCAACTCTACATCGGCAGCTTGGTGATGTTATTTGTTATCCAAGATAGTTATTTTACCCCTTATTTTTCTAATGAGCTGACATATACAGATATTTTGTTAAAAGGACAGTGTGCTATGCTAAGTACTATCTTTAAAAAAAATCGGGGCTGGAGAGATGGCTCAGCGGTTAAAAGTGCTGGCTGTTCTTGAAGAAGACCAGGGTTTGAATCCTAGCATCCACATGGCAGCTAACAACTGTCCATAACTCCAATTTCAGGGGATCTGATGTCCTATTCTGTCCTCTGTGGGCACTGTTTGACACAGGTGCACTTACATACATGCAGGCATAACACTCATAGGTATAAAATAAAAAAAAAACAGATCAATCAATTTTTTGACAGATGCAAAAGATGTTAGCTCATAGGCAAGTTTTAGCTCCAGGCAAGGCATGTTTGGACGTGGGAAAACTCAGAGATTCCTCCTACTTTGACAGTCTTATTTTGATGACAGAAACTTTCCACCTTTCTAATCATAGAAGGGCCAGATCAGCAAAACTTCCAAATGCATGGCTTTGCACACCAAGTTATAGAGTTCAGGGAAAAACATTTGAAAGTCAAAAACAGAACAGTAAAAATGATTGAAAATTTTGTGAGATTCCTAATTATTCTGGAATATTTACTCCCAAAGGGAAGAAATTAAGAAACAGAACATTATTTTTTCATGGTTGATTTAGGAAGGAGAGGAGGGAAGGGGGCTAAGGAAAAGGTATGTCTGTTTCTGTCCCCGCCCCCCCAGCTGAGGACTGCTTCCAGGTCTTGTGGTTGTTAGGCAAGTGCTCTACCACTGAGCTGAACCCCCAGTCTTTGTTTGTTTCTTATCTGTATGTTTATTTCCTCTTTGTTTTGTGTTCTTCTGCTTCCCACTGTACTCTTTAAGAGGAGGCATTTCAAACACACCGTGGAACAGTCCCTGTTTGCTTTCTCTTGCACGGTCACATGGCCACTCTGTCCTTCTGTCCCTCACCCCTTCACCAGTGAACCATGCTTGGGGCTTATAACTCTGTTCCTTTCTCCTCCCAGCCTGAATCAGCAAATGAATAAAAGCTTAGCTGTAACTGGGGCACCATTTGTTGTATTTCCTTCATAACATTAAACTGAGTGTTCTCAGCTCTGATGAAAAAGTCTCAATTCACTTACTGATACAGTCTGCTAGATTTTGTACGAACAATTAAGTCCTTGGCACTAGAAGGTGAAGATACTCATAAATCATCTCTGTTTCTAACCACTACATGCACAGGCAGCAGATTTTTGCATTTGCTTCTGAATCTTAATCTCTGCTTTCCGAGAGTGTTCCAGAAAGAGGTGCCGCAGCTTCTGAGGAGGAACGCTGTGTTAAGCACAGAGACTAACTGAATAAGAGATGCTACACGTGTCCTGTTTTCAGCGTTTCCTGTTACTGCTGTTTAGTAACAAGCTGAATAGGGGAGTTTATGGCTGAGTTCACAGCAATGTTATTCCATGAAGCAATTATGATCACGTTGATTATTTAACATTTGTTCTCTAGCTTGAACTGGAATAGCCACCCAGTGTAAATTATTCAAAACAAATCATATTCCTGTCACCAAATGAAAGTGAGCTCCTGTCTCAAGGCCGCTTCATTAGAGGAACGCAGTCAGCAGGGAACAGAAGATTCAGCTAGAGTCATGTAGCCCCTTGCCTAGGGGTGAGGGCTGTGGGTACCTGTATTGAAACACTACTCCATCATCTTAACTTTGGGAATCTGACGTCTTCTTTTGGAATAATAAGAGAAAACTGGCTTATTTTTGAACAGTTTCATTGAATGTGTTAATGAAAGTCAGTTCTTGCTTGAAGAAATCCTGTAATAAACAAGAAGTACACTCTTGGTGAGAAGAGAGATGTCCAAAGTAGAAAAAGCAGTGCTTGGCTCAAATAACAGTTTGCCAAATGGAATACTTATCATCTAAACGGGCATAAAGAAGAGGAACCTGCACAATGTTTCATGCACAGCATCATATGTGCCTTCTAAAATGACTTTAAGAATTTGGAGTTGCTCTTTTGAAGTTCTTACTTCAATTAACTGGCAATTGGTGGGGAATTAATGTCACAAAAGTTTGGCCTAGTGATGGGGATATCTCCATCATGAGTTTCCTACTGGGAAGAGAGATTTGGAGGGCTGGATATTTGAACTGGAAATATGAAATCACATACCAAAAATCCCTACCTGTGGGCCTTTGGGAAAGTGTTTCCCTCCTATAGAATAGGGGACAGGTCTGAAGCTCCTGTCACCAGGTAGTGTGTGGGTCCCATGGTCTTTCCTGTCATTCTTTATCTGAAGAGACCACACTGCCCTTCCTTTCTTTTCTTTCTTTCTTTCTTTCTTTCTTTCTTTCTTTCTTCTTTTTTTCTTTCTTTTTTCTCTCTCTTTCCTTTCTTTCCCTCCCTCCCTCCCTCTCTCTCTCTCTTTCTTTCTTTTTCTTTCTCTCTTTCTTTCCTTTCCCTCCCTCCCCTCCCTCCCTCCCTTTCTTTCTTTCTTTTCTTTCTTTCTTTCTTTCTTTCTTTCTTTCTTTCTTTCTTTCTTTCTTTCTTTCCTTCTTTCTTTCTTTCATTAGTTTTGAGACAGGATCTCAGGATGCAACCCTGATCCTGGAACTTACTATGTAGACCAGACTGGTCTTTAACAGAGATCAACCTGCCTCTTCCTCCTGAGTGCTGAGATAAAGGTGTGCACCACTATACCCAGGTACACTGATTTCTGAAAAGTAAGACTTTAGGGTGCTGGTGAGTAAACATCTTTCATAGTTTAGTGCTGTCTCTAATTCTGTTGCTATGGTGAAGGGCATTGTGTTTACACTCTAGGGAAATTTTATCTGTAGGTTTAGAGAACAATCAGTATTTGTGGAATCAATGAAATAATAGATTAACTAGTGGCTTATCCTTTTCCATTCAGGTAAAAGGAAATGTATGTTTAAATCAATTTATTAGTGACATCATTATTCAAATTAAAAATCGGATACTTAAAAACATGTATCTTCCGTATCTTCCAAAATTCATTTTTAAAAGTCACAGTTTTTTGTTCTTTGTATAATACTCCTAAGGGAAGCAGCAAACATTATATAGTGACATTTAAAACACATTTAAACATTTTTTTTTCTTTTTGAAACAGGGTTTCCCTGTAGCTCCATTTGGCCTGGAAGCAGGCTTGCCTCAGTCTCACAGAAATTCATCTGGCTTCTGCCTCCTGAGTGCTGGGCTTAAAGGTGTGCACCCACCATGCCCAGCTTGAAATATAATCTTACATGTAAACTTTTATTGGTAAATAAAAGTATTTTTTAAACTGGGGATTGGGAAGATGACTCATTTGGTAATGAGCTTTCTATGCAAGCACAAAGATAATTTTAATTCCCAGCACCCACATAAAAAGCCAGACAGATGTGGAGTTGTGTGCCTGTGATCCCAGATCCAGGATTGCAGATACAGGAGGATCTCTGAGGCTTGCTCTCCAGTTAGTCTAGAAGTTCAATGAGAGATTTTTTGTCACAAAAAATAAGGCGGAGCCAGGCATGGTGGTAACTTACAGATTTCATCTCAGTATTCAGGAGGCAGATCTCTGTGAGCTGGAAGCCAGCCTAGTCTACATAGTGAGTTCCAGGCCAACCAGAGCTGTATAGTGAGACCTTGTCTCGACAAACAAATGGTAGAGAATAATTGAAGACATCAAATATTGACCTTTGCTCTCCACACACATGCACATACACATGCATATGCACCCATACACATGTATACACATACAAACACATATAAAAATAACTATCATGTTAAATGTAAAAATACAAGATAGCCATCAAAGGGTAACATTAATTCCTCAGCATCCATTATAGGTCTAAACTTTTTCTGTAGGAGATAAGGAACAGGTCTGTTATTAATTTGGTATGTAATAAATTTTTTTTGAGAGAGGTCTCCCTGTAGCCCCAGCTGGTCTGGAACTCACTATGTAGACCAGGCTGGCCTTGAATTCACAGAGATCTGCCTGCCTCTGCCTCCCAAGTGCTGGGATTAAAGGCATGTGCCACCATGCCCAGCTGTAATTAAAAAAAATTTAAATCTCCAGGTTAGAGGAGCTTATCAATGTTGTGAATAACTCATTTTCTGTTGAGTTAAAGACCTAGAAGAGTTGGAGAGAGGTTTGAAATGAGTTCAGAGAAATGCAAATGTCACTGATGACTGAAAGATTGTTTACTTCATGGAACTAAAAGCAAACTCACAAAGTCATACAGAGGAATAGAGTAGGAATCACCACAGTGCATAAAAATGAACCACATGACTTCTCATATAAATGAGCTCAAAGACAAGAACCACATGGCCATCTCAATAGATACAGAGAAGGCCTTTGACAAAATTCAGCATCCATTTATGTTCAAAGTCCTAGAGGGAATTGGACTGGAGGGAACATACCTCAACATAATTAAAGCCATATATAACAAACCCACAGCCAACATCATTCTAAATGGAGAAAAACTGGAAGCATTCCCATTGAAATCAGGAACCAGACAAGGCTGTCCACTATCCCCACTTCTCTTTAACATAGTACTTGAAACTCTTGTAAGAGCGATAATTCAAGAGAAGGAAATTAAAGGAGTAATAATTGGAAAAGAGATCAAATTATCCCTTTTTGCAGATGATATTATATCTAAGGGATGTCAAAAATTACACCCAAAAACTCCTAGAAATTTAACACGTTCTAAAGTGGCACCCAAAAACTCCTAGAAATTATTAACACGTTCAGTAATGTCGCAGATTACAAAATTAACCTACAAAAGTCTATAGCCTTTCTATATACCAATAACAAGCAATCAGAGAAAGAGCACATGGAAATACTCCCGTTCACAATAGCTGCAAATCGATATATATGTGTGTGTATGTGTGTGTGTGTGTGTGTGTGTATGTGTATATATATATGTATATATAGGAATAAACCTGACCAAAGACATTAAAGACCTCTACAATGAAAATTGTAAATCTTTAAAGAAAGAAATTGAGGAAGACATCAGAAGATGGAAGGATCTCCCATGCTCATAGATTCGAAGAATTAATATTATGAAAATGATCATCCTACCAAAAGTCATATATAGATTCAACGCAATGCCAATCAAAATCCCCATGGAATTTTTCACAGAATTGGAAAAAACTATCGTAAGATTCATATGGAAGCACAAAAGACCTCGGATAGCCAAAACAACCCTGCTGGAGGCATTACTATACCAGATTTCAAGCTGTATTACAGAGCTATAGTCATAAAAACAACATGGTACAGGCACAAAAATAGACCCATAGACCAATGGAACAAAACTGAAGACCCAAATATGAGTAATTGCAATTTTAGCCACCTGATATTTGACAAAGAGGCATGAACATTTACTGGAGGAAATACAGCATTTTCAGCAAATGTTGCTGGCAAAACTGGTTCTCC